AAAAATTTGCGTTTCTGAGTAACTTCATATACTCTTTCGAACGAGCACACTCATTGTAAAAAATAACATCTTTGGGCAACCGATCCCTGCTGTTTTGAGTGGTGGCCACATGAATCCTCCCTTAAGGATCTACAGTGGTTGAAAGCTTGATAGCACTCAATTTATTTTTCAAGCGAAGGAATACAAAAGACTATATGCAAAAACACTATGAAACTAAACCGTTTCGTTTCACTCGCTTTATAAAATGCCGAAAACTATAGCAAAAGTAAGATCATGAAAAGAACAGTAAACAGTAAATTATCTTTCTTTGTTTCTTTTATAATAGGCTCACCAACCGTCAACAGAACTGAATCAAAAAAGAAAAAAGAAAAGTAAAATAAGCTATTCAACTTCTCTCATAAGATGCACGACAACTATCAGAATAACTAAATAGAGAAAGATAAAATTAAACTAAACAAACCTATTCTGTTTCTCCCATAAAACGTTTGAAAGCTATCAGTATAACTAAACAAAGAAAAGAAAACAAAAGTAAAGATAATTTTCTCATTCTATTTCTTTCATAAAATGTGTGACGGCTACTATAGTAACTAAACGAAGAAAAGAAAAGGGTGTGGGTGTTGGTGTGGGTGTGGGTGTGGGTGTGGGTGTGGATGTGGGTGTGGGTGTGGGTGTGGGATGTGAGTGTGGGTGTGGAGCGTGGGTGTGGGTGGTGTGGGTATGGGTGTGGATGTGGGTGTGAGTGTGTGGGTGTCGGGTGGGTGTGGAGGTTTCTTCGCCGATACCCCACACTCACACCCTCACACCCATCCACACTTACACCCACACCCCACACCCACACCCACACAACCCACACACCACACCCACCCACACCCACACGCACACCCACACTCCACCCACACCCACACCAATACCCCACACGCACACCCTGGCATCCTCACTGACACCCGACCCAATCCTGGCCAAATGAATATTGAAATTTTTTTCCAGTAGAAATGAATTTTTTGAAAGGCAGCGAAAGAAATCTGCGAGTGACATGACCTTTACTGAATACATGAATATCCATTTGCACCAATCCATCTACAAATTTAATGTTGGGCATTATGGTAGTGTTCGTTTTTGAATATCATTAGTCCCGTGATGAGGGGAGAATTTTCAATTCCTTGAAAATGAGTACGTTCCATGTCCTCGTATAATTCCTTGAAATTGGAAGATCTTCAAAGATGTCTTGTGTTTTGAATAAGAACAGTTATTTTTTCTTATTATTCTGTAGAAAGTCAAGCTCGGCATACTTGTTGGCTTTGTTGTCCAAAAGAACAAATATGTAGGTAATTAAAAGCGATGAAGTATCGAAAAAACAAGCAACTACTGTTTTCACTGCTCATTATTGTCCAAGTTACGAGTTATGTCCTGCTCTTGGAGATTCCTTTACTTTTAGGATTAACAAAAATGTTCTATTCGTGTAGACGAAATTTACAATGACGATAGAATAAATGAGAACTAATTATTTATTTTTAATATTCTTATTTCCTTTATCTTTGCTATTAAAAAGAACATTGAGCTCTATTTATCTTCTTTCAGGTGAACGATTGCATATCAGTTTTAATCGTCAAATGCAAGACACAACAGACTGTCAATATATACGAAAAAAAAAGAGTCAGTTAAGTTGTGAATACTATTGGATCATTTATTGAAGACAGGCAAGAAGAAAACAAAGTTTTGTTCAATAATGTTCTGATGACGGATTGCATGTTATTCAAAGGTCAGCACCACCGCGCAGTCTGAGCACGAGATGAAGTGTGCTCTCCTTCTGGTTGTTGTAGTCACTGAGCGTACGACCATCTTCAAGCTGCTTGCCTGCGAATATGAGACTTTGCTGATCCGTTGGAACGCCTTCTTTGTCCTAAATTTTTGCTTTGACATTCTCAATGGTATCTGAGGATTCGACTTCGAAGGTAATAGTGTTGCTTGTCAACGTTTTCATGAAGATTTGCATACCGCCACGGAGACAGACGACCAAGTTGAGTGTTCTCTCCTTAAAGATGTTGTAGTCACTGAGAGTGCAACCATCTTCAAGCTGCTTGCCTGCGAATATGAGACGTTGCTGATCCGGTGGAATGCCTTCTTTGTCCTGAATATTGGCTTTCACATTTTCAATGGTATCTGAAGGTTCGACTTCAAGAGTAATAGTCTTGCCTGTCAATGTCTTTAGAAAGATTTGCATTGTATTTGATGCGACAAGTGAATGTTGTAAATAGAGAAAAGATAACTAGAATGCGTTGCAAAAGTGAATGAAGACAACCTCAACAGGTGACAGTTTGTATAATATAGCTGCACGATGATGATTAAATGAAATGCTGTTTTTTGGTTTTGTCATAAAAAATCATTATGTCGCATGCTGATGCATTGCAACATACCGGGTTCAGAAGGCAATGTTTGAAAGAAAAGTATGAGTCATTCAGCAACAACAATAAAATGCAAGGAAGAAATAAGAATTTTTGGTTGGCCGTCATAATGTCGAAAGGAAAAATGTCGAAAAAATAATATTGACATGAAGCATTGTCGGTTAATATTTTAGAGAATTGTAAATAATATAGTGCATGTTTTTTTCCATAAAATTAAGTTGAAATCTTAACAGTGAGAAAAATATAAAAATAAATGAAAAATGAAAATGTTATTTTTTCACGAACTTCACGAACCTCAAGTTTTTCTTTTTCTCGAAGATGATTATTATTACTAATAGATTTCATCAATCGATTATTTGAATCAGTATACACTTTAGCTGCACAACCATTAATAGTGCATATCCAATATTTAGCAGTTGTTGTGGCTTTATATCAATTTAAAAGTATAATCATCAACAACTAGTAGAGATTTTCCTTTATTTGAATTTATAAATGAAATAGCAGGAGATTTTGCTTGAATTTCACCAGTTAAAGTAACGAAAGCTTCAGCCATGACAGTACAATTTTAGTTATATAATAATTCTTTGTTTAACTCTTTCATTTTACTTGTATTAATAGTTAGTCATCCCTATCAATACTGGCTAAAATTCTACACTAGTAAAATTATAAGAAAAAACAATGAGCTAAATGGGATTAGAATCGCCATATACTGGAGACATCATTACTTTTTTATTTTTCCCTTTCGACATTTTTCCGCTTTAATATATACGTTTCGATATTTTTCCTTTCGATATTTTTCCTTTCGATATTTTTCCTTTCGATGTTTTTTCTTCGTTTTTTCTGTTTTCGACATTTTTCCTTTCGACATTTTTCCAGCACACCGAATTTTTCATCGTTCGAGAATATTCTGGTTTATTATTCAGACGACATGAGGCAACATGCCAGTTAGAGATTTTATGAAAAACCCTAGCAAATATGTTCCGAAATCGTGCTCCAAGAAGATACAGCTTAAACTTGGATCGGAGAAAGGCTCACAACATATTTTTACACATTTCAGCGGATTTCTTCCAACTTTGACTTAAGCAGAAAAATATACAACAGCGCACTTCACAGGTGCACGACTTTACCATGCAATCACTCTATGGATTTGGTCACGAATTATTCATTACAGTACTGCTTTGATCGTTGAAAATAGGAAAACATTGAATACAACACGTTTCCCTGATGACGGGTAAAAGCTGAGCACTAAGAAAAATAAAATCCTCACGTAAATGTGGTTTCATAAGTAAATAGTGAAAATATATTTATATTCTATGAGCAATCATTGAAAAATAAAATTCCAATTTAATATTATCCGCAATTACATCAATTCCAGCTAAAATATCGTCGTGGGAATTTGAAATAAGATTTAATAATCGTTTTCAAAAATGCTGATTGTTTTTTGTGGTTGTCTAGATTTTATTCGTGCCATATCAGCTTGAATAATATTTTCTTTGTCGATTAATTTTGAAAAAACAACCACAACCTAACATGAGTACATAGACATACTAATCCAATCGGCGGGTGATAAGAGAGGGAAGTGCAGATCAATGCAATAAAACAAAACGTCCATGCTTAAAGTCTCACTTTTTTAAAGAGTTTCTTTCATTGTTTTGTCTGATAAGCTATACGTCGGATTCATTAACAGAAATAAAAATAGTCTTTCAATGATATTTCTAGGGATGCAACAGTGACGATAACCGTAGGTACAGTTACCGTACCTACTACGGTAACCGTACCTACGGTTACCGGCCCAAGTACAATAAACGTAGGTACATTATCGGTTCAAACCAGTTGTCAAGAAAAAAAGCATTTGTTAAGAAAATAACGATATTTTATAAAGGTTGACGAAAGTAAATCGACGTCGGAGAATCCGAATCTGAAGTCAGTTTTTCAAAATTTTAAATTAAATTTTTTCGAGAAAGGAAAGGGTTTTTTAGAAAAATAATGATATTTTATGAAGGTTTACAAAAGTAAGTCGAGGTCGGAGAGTCCGAATCTAAAGTCGACTTTTGAAAATTTAGGGTTTTAGTTCTTCACATAGGATATTTTTCAGGGATAAAGTTTTCTAGAAAAATAGATCACTTTCAAGAAGCGGTTTAGTCTAGGGAAAAGAAAATTGTAAAGCTCAAGGATTTGATTTCAGATTCGGATTCTCCGACTCCGACTAGAGATGTGCGGGACCAGCTCCGGTCCCGGTACCGGTAGCTGGAGCCAGAGCCAAAAAAATAGAGCTTTACCGGGACTGTGGCCGGGACCGGGACCGGGACCGGGACCGAAAATTCAAATTTAACTGGGTCCATGACCGGAGCCGTGACTGAAATTGAAATCTGTGATATTCTTAACTTTGCCATTTTTAAGATTGAATTTTCCGTACATCATATAAATCAATTTATTATTTTCATACTAATATCATGTAATACAAAAAATGTACATAGCATAAAGCAAAACGACATAAACAAAAATAAAAACCGTAAATATCAAAAATAAATAAATAAGCAACTCAAAGCCACGTACTTTCCTATACAAAAAAAAAACATTTTTTCACCATCATCAACGTCAAAAAATATCGTCATCGTCATTGTCATTATCATCATCTGAATGTATTTGTTCATATTGTTCATTGGACAATGATTCATCATCTGTGTACAATCTTCTTCTTTTTGTTTCTAAAGATGATGAAGATAAATCAGATGATAATACACGTTTATTTGAATTAAATAATGGATGAGATGCATCATCTGATAATTCTTTTTCATTTGTTTCATGAAGAGATCTTAGATAAACTAAGTTTCTATTCAGAAATAACATCTTGTCAATTTTTTCAATGGCTAATCTTGTTGTTTTTCGGTGACTGTTGCACCTGAGACTGAAAACATACGTTCGACACAAGTTTTTGATGCGGGTATAATTAAAATTTGTTTTGCTAATTGGAATAATTGCGGAACATTTTCACGTTGTTGCATCCAAAATTTTAATAGATCAGCATTTTCATCTAATCGTAAATCTGAATCTAAATAGATTTCAAATTCACCTTTGCTTTTATTTGCATCTTTTGGTTTATCGTATAATGATGATAGTAAACCATTCTTATTAGAACAATCTGTTTTGGAGGATGGTATGATTGTTGATGATGGTGAAGACATTGTCGAATCATTTCGAAGTTTAGATTTAATTAAATCATGAGCATGTCGTCGCATTCTTTTAGTAAAAAAATCTAATTGTTTGAATTGAGGATGTAAAACTGTTGCTATAAAATGTTCATCTTGGATAGGCCAATCGTTTTCTAAATGTTCGATGAAATAATTTTTATGTTCAACTAGACCTGAATGTTTATTTGATGATGAACTGTTAGCTACTTGTAGTAGTTTTTGACGACATGGAATAACTAAATGTAATATTGGTTGCTGTTCATTACTTAATCTTTCGGTTATATCAACAATAAGTTTTAAAAATGGTAATAATTGACGTAATAAATCTTGATCAATTGTATCAAATGATTGCTGATGATTATGATCTAATAATGAACGCAAATCAGGAAAATTTTCATTGAATGCGAAAAACATCGAATAGATACTGTGCCAACGAACTTTACAGTAAAGTTGTAATCGTCGAGTTAAATTTGCTTGTTTGTGTGATCTTGTAAAATGTGTAACAATTGGTCGAATTGTATTAAATAAATGATGAATCTCGTTGCAATTTGAATCTTAAGTTGAAAAAAGCAGTTTTTCTATTGGGAGAGAGATATGACATATCTTGAATGTACATACCAATATGAATAAAGGACTTTTCCAAGATTTTATTCAAATAGTGACAAGAACAGCCAACTCTTGTTGTGTTTTCTTTGAATGAACATCGCATTTTCGGTTCATTATCACTGACAACGAATTGATTTTCTGTTAGTTTTAAATTAAATTCAGATAATATTTGATCAACAAATAATCGAACATTCGAGGCAGTACCGTCTATTAGATCATATGCTCTACAGCATAAAGTCAAAGAAACCAAACCTTTATTGTCTTCATAAAAATGTAAGGCAACACCAGCAAAGCTAATGCCACTAAAATCTTCCGTCCAAAAATCGATTGTTGTTGAGAATGATGTTATTGTTTTACATAAATCACGTAATTGTTGGTGATATAATGAATATAACCTATCGACATGCCGACTAATCTGAAATAAAAGGGATAAGTTAATCGGAGAAACAGCTAAAGGAAGGTATATATTACTGTTGTTCTGTGTGGTAATAGTTGTTTTACGTCAATCATCTTACCAAAATATTTACCAGCATCGAATATTTGTTTAATAAATTCTTCGAAGCCATTACCATAAAAAATATTGAATGGTCGTGAATCTAATACACACATTTCAGCAGCACCACGAAGAATTTTGGTTTTAAAAGAACGAAGTTGATTAGGTGTCACTTGAGAGTCTTGTTTAAATGATGAAGTGATCCGTGGTTGAGTTTCTGGTGGAAGTTCTTTTGCTTTGGAACATCCAACTGAATGCTTTTTCATAACGCCGGTGCCATTCGATGGTATCCATGTCAAAATCGAACGACAGTCATTACAAATAGCGTATCTTTGACGAACATTGTTAATCAAGACTTCTTGATATTTGTCCCAATATGAACTTTTTCCACAAGGAGGTTTCGCGAAGGACAACCGTGCATCGTTTTTCTTCACCAAATCTTCCACTTCTTGTTTGTCAAAAAATTCTTTAGCTGTTGAAATAGACATTGATAAGATTAAAATGTGATAACGATCCTTTATCGATTGAATTGAGAATAAAGAATTTAAAATAAAGAATTTAAAACAAAGCAACCACGAGCTAAATGATATTAATCATCCTTTTCACTGATACGATTATAAGAAATTTTTGAAATAACAGTTGCTCCAATAGTTGTTAGATGTCGCGTATAGCCAGATGATAGTAAGCCAAATTCATCAGTCGTCAAATCTTTATAGTTAAAAACAGCCACCGGGACCGGGTTCGGGACCGCTGACAAAGTTACCGGGACCGTTGGAAAAAAGCTGCCGGATCTGGACCGGAGTCAAGAAAATAGTATATTCATCCGTACTACGACCGGGACTGATAAAAAAATGAGCTACCCGGACTAGACCGGAACCGGAACCAAAAAAACCTGGTCCCGCACATCTCTAACCCCGACTTACTTCCGTCAGCCTTTCTAAAATATCATTATTTTTCTAAAAAACCCTTTCCTTTCTCGAAAAAATTCAATTTAAAATTTTGAAAAACTGACTTCAGATTCGGATTCTGCGACGTCAATTTACTTTCGTCAACCTTTATTGAATATCGTTATTTTCTTAACAAATGCTTTTTTTCTTGACAACCGGTTTGAACCGATAATGTACCTACGTTTATTGTACTTGGACCGGTAACCGTACCTACGGTTACCGTAGTAGATACGGTAACCGTAGGTACGGTTAACCGGTGATTAATCGTCACCGTTGCATCCCTAGATATTTCACTTCATGATGTTAATTGATCAGGTCTAGTAATAGATAATAATTACCAAAATAAAACTGACATACTCTACAATATTATCCTTATAATTTTGATTAACACAATGTAAATATTTTACTATTATAATTATTAGTTATTTCATTTTAAGGTCCCCCCCCCCCTCCCTCAAAAATCGATCTCAGCTCTGGAACACCGAGATGCTATGAAACTTTGAGGATATGCGGGGGGTATAAAAGGACATCTATGGTAAAATTTTCAGCCTCCTATTCTGATGTATAAGGCAGATACGAACCAAACAAGAGTTGAACAATCGCTTATCGTAGCCCCTAAAAATCTCTATGAATGTTCATTCAATATGGTTCATTGTTTTCTCATTTGAAAGAGCCTGTCAGGATGCAGTGCCTATGAGGGCCCTTTTTTTATTCTTATCTTAATAAGAGAACAAGGCTTCACAAAGTCAGTCACTCAAAAGTCCCTAAAAAAAATAATGTTTATATTATAAAATAGCTTTTTAATATAATAATAAGAAAGCATTATCAAAAAAATGTCCTCATAGGCGCTGTAGTTTTTGATGCTCTTTCAAACAAAAAAAAAACAAAACATTTGACTTTATATCGGATAATAATTGACTTTTCGGCGGGCTGCGTCGTTCGACTACAAATTTGAGAAAAAAAGAAAAACAATTTTGAATTTTTTTAAAAACCGCTGGTTCTTCGAATAGGGATTGTCAAAAATCTATAAAATTTTTGGGAAAAAAGGAGGTACCGAAGAAAAATTTTTATCGTTCATATCAGGGTAAACGACAGGCTATACTCCTATGTATTTATCTCGACTTCCATGATTCTGACGAAAAGTGACTTAATTGAGAGGGGCTACGATAAGCGATTGTTCAACTCTTGTTTGGTTCGTATCTGCCTTATACATCAGAA